CAAATTTTCAGTCCAAGACAACCTGGATGGTTGATTGGAAAGGTCTATTGCACCAGGGTGGGAGAGGATTATAGTTCAGCGTGGGCCCACAGGCAAAGACCAGGTCTCAGCCAATCTGGAGCAGGCCTCAGGGGGCTGAATAATGGGCAGCTGTGATGGTTTCCAGACTTCTCAACCCACAAAAGCCAAAGACAACTTAGAAGGTCAGTAGAAAGGTCTGTCTGATCAAGGTGAGAGAGGAGCTCAGTCTGGCCCCAGTTCTGATGCAGCCCCAGAGTTTTTGGCCCATAGACTGAGGGGGAATTGAGTGGCTGATCAGAGGGGGATTGCAGGGATCTCTTTGCTGGTGCTGAAGCAGGATTCTCATGTATTACCTGTGCTTGGATCTGAGTCACAGTTCTGGGTGGAGGTCCTGGGGCAAGAAGGAATGCTGGCATTGTAGAGCTTGTGGTGGCAGTGGAGAGGGAATCCTCCTCACAGTTCCAGGGCAGAAAAAATTGCTTGTTGTCACTCATAGATCAGAGCATGGGCCAGGAAAGGAGTAAATACCTTGCCTTTGATCATACCACTTTGGAAGAACTGAAAATTTACAGATCCCTAGAAGTATCTCTGAAAACAGCTGCACAAAACTCCTGAAGCTTGGGACAGTACATTTTCTGCACTGGAAGGAGACCCCTACCTTAACAAAGAGTTTAATAGTCAAGTAATTGGCTGGGAACATGAACAAACAGAATAAAAACAGTCAGACCACAGAATCTTACTTTGGTGACAAAGAAGATCAAAACATATAACCAGAAGAAGACAACAAAGTCAAAGCTCCTACATCCCAAGCCTCCAAGAAAAATATGAATTGGGCCCAGGCCATGGGAGAGCTCAAAAAGGATTTTGAGAAGCAAGTAAGAGAAGTACTGGAAAAACTGGGAAGAGAAATGAGAGAGATGCAAGAAAATCATGAAAAACAAGTCAACAGCTTACTAAAGGACACACCAAAAACACTGAAGAAAATAACACCTTAAAAAATACCCTAATCCAAATGGCAACAGAGGTCCAAAAAGCCAATGAGGTGAAGAATACCTTCAAAAGCAGAATTGGCCAAATGAAAAAGTAAGTCCAAAAGCTCACTGAGGAAAATAATTCCTTAAAAATTTGACTGGAGCAAATGGAAGCTAATGACTTATGAGAAATCAAGATATTATAAAACAAAACCAAAAAAATGAAAAAAAAAATAGAAGACAATGTGAAATATCTCATTGGAAAAACAATTGACCTGGAAAAAAAAATCCAGGAGAGATAATTCAAAAATTATTGGACTGCCTGAAAGCCAAGATCAAAAAAAAGAGCCTAGACATCATCTTTCAAGAATTTATCAAGGAAAACTGCCCTGACATTCTAGAACCAGAGGGTAAAATAGAATTGAAAGAATCCACCAATCACCTCCTCAAAGAGATCCTCAAAGGAAAACTCCTAGGAATATCATAGCCAAATTCCAGAGTTCCCAGGCCAAGGAGAAAATATTGCAAGCAGCCATAAAGAAACAATTCAAGTATTGTGGAAAAACAATCAGAACAACACAAGATCTAGCAGCTTCTACATTAAGGGATTAGAGGGCTTGGAATATGATATTCCACAGGTCAAAGGAACTAAGATTACAACCATGAATCATCTACCCAGCAAAACTGAGTATAATCCTTTAGGGGAAAAAAATGGACATTCAGTGAAATAGGGGACTTTCAAGCACTCTTCATGAAAAGACCAGAGCTGAATAGAAAATTTAACTTTCAAATATAAGACTCAAGAGGAGCATGAAAAGGTAAATAGGAAGGACAAATCATAAGGGACTTATTAAAGTTAAACTGTTTACATTACTTCATGAAAAGATATTTGTAACTAATGAGACTTTTCTCAGTATTACAGTAGTAATATATATAGACAGAGGGAACCAGGTAAGTTAAAAATGAAGAGATCATATCTAAAAATAAAGTTAAGGGGTGAGAGAGGATTATACTAGGAGAAGGAGAAAGGGAGAGGTAGAATGGGGTAAATTAGCTCACATAAAAGAGAGAAGAAAAAGTTTTTACCTTGAAAGGGAAGAATGGGGAGGTGAGAGGGAATGAATGAATCTTACTATCTGAATTTGGTTTAAGGAGGGAATAACATACACACTCAATTGGGTATGGAAATCTATCTTACCCTACAGGAAAGTAGGGAAGTGGATAAGGGGGGGGGGAATGAAAGAAGGGAGGGCAGATTGGGGGAGGAGGGAATCAGAAGCAAACATTATTGAGGAGGGACAGGGTCGAAGGAGAGAATGGAATAAATGTGGGGTGGGATAGGATGAAGGGAAATAGAGTTAATTTTTTTACAACATGGCTATCATGGAAATGTTTTGCATGACTACACATGTATAGCCTGTGTCGAGTTGCTTGCCTTCTCAATGAGGGTGGGTGGGCAGGGAGGAAGGGAGAGAATTTGGAATCCAAAGTTTTAAAAACAAGTGTTACAAATTGTTTTTACATGTAACTAGGAAATAAGATATATAGGCAAAGGGGTGTAGAAATCTATCCTGCCCTACTGGAAAATAGAAGGGGGAGGAGATAAGAGAAGGAGGGAGGGAGATAGAGGGGAGGGCAGAACAGTTGACTGGGTATTCAGAATGTATGCTGTCTTGGGGTGGGGAGAGGGGAGACATGGGGAGAAAATTTGGAACTCAAGGTCTCATGGAAGTGAATGTTGAAAACTAAAAATAAATTAATTAATTTAAAAAAATAAATAAATAAAATCTATGGTGAAACAAAGCATGGCATAGAGCAGGGGTTGGCAAACTCTGGCCCACAGACCACATCCAATCTGCCACCTGTTTTTATATGACCCACAAGCTAAGAATGGTTTTTACATTTTAAAATTTGTATTTGGCACACAGACCAGAGTTTGCAAATCCTTGGTAGAGAAGAAAACACTGGACTTGATGTCAGAACACCAGATTTCAAATACAAAGTCTACCCCTTTCCATTTGTGCAACCTTAAGTAAGTCACTTGATTTCTCAGTCTCAGCTTCTGCAAAATTAGAATAATAATATTTACACTAAAATTGTGATAATAAAGAGCTTTTGTAAGCAGTGGGAAAAAAAAAACACTGTGCTCTATGAGCAAAGCAGAATTGCAGTAGCTCAAAAGAAATGTAAGATGCGTGAATTTAGATACATCTCCACTCCAAATAAGGACTTCATATGGACTATTTGTGCTCAACCTGTGGTAGAGTCTTCCTATTTTTCTGGTCAGCCACAGTCAGACACACTATACCATGACCCCAATATAGTAATGTTGTTCTGGTACTCTTTAAGCCTGAAATACAACAACCAACTGGGGTAGATTTCAAAACCTAGGAATCTCTAGACTACAGCAGTAAGTCAAATGACAGTGGTAAGAATCTGGAGAACACAAAAGAGGCTCGAGTGATAAGCCCCAATGATATTTCATCTTGCTGGGTGGAATAGATTTTGCCACTCCTATTGAATTCAAGCCATATAAGTAATCAAGAAGCCCACAGTGTTCTTAGCAGCACTAAGGGCCAAAATGGCAAGGCCCTCTCCAAGGTGGAAGATGCTCCTATTTCCAACTTTCTGAACTGGGTTCTAGATGGCCTAAAAAATCCACAGAAATGATAAACATAACCCATCTTTGTAGTGACTGCCTATTTCTGAGGTATAAATATTCACACTCAAAATTTTACAATTCATTCTTGGGAGCTTATTAGAGCTGGGTCTAATACACTGCTGTTTATGTAGCAAAAAGAAAAATAACAACAACAAAACTAAACAAAAAGTGAGTGAAATTGAATACTGTTACACTATAGGAAATGATGAATATGATGAATTCAGAGGAAAAATTGAACGATTTGTATAAACAGAGGGAATGGGGAAGAACCAGGAAAACAACATACACAATTACTGTAATAATACCAAAATGTCCCTGAACTCATTAAATATAACGAACAATTTTGATTCTGCCAGAAAGACCAGATGAAACATATTGTCTTCCTCTAAAAAGAGTGATGGAGGACTACAGGTGCAGAGTATTGTATATACTATCAGATGGGGTTTCTTTGTTAGTTGGTTTTATTTAACTCTTCTTAATCATTACCAGGGAGACATCTATGAGTCTATCAAGAAGTAATATAAAATAGCATTGATATGTTTTTTAAAAGTTAGACTTCTCTGTATGTGAGCAAATTGTGATTATGTTTCATAGAAGGTGAAAACTTGTGATAGATTACCCTGATGAGTTAGTAAGGACTTGTTTTGACAGAGAATATAGTAGAAGAATGGACATTTTCACAGTCTTAAATACTTTTAAGAATATTTTCCTAAACTAAAGTTAGCTTTATTTTTTCTCTTTGAAAAAACACTAGGCAATCAGATTTTTTTAATGATTTCATTTTAATTTCTTCCTCCTTTATTTTTATTTTCCATTTCCTTTTTTTTTTCTTTTCTTACTTTTTTTAAAGACTTGATCTCCCCATCTTGCCCAGGCTAGAAGTACAGGTTCTACTCAGAGGCCCAATCCTATTAGTGATCATCACAGGGGTTTTACCTTTTCCATTTCCAATCACAACTGATTTGCCTCTTCCATAGGAAACTTGGTGGCCTCCTATTCCCTCAGACTCATCATACAGATACCGTAAAAAACAGATACCTGATTCAAATACCCCACCACAGCTCAGAACTCCTGAGCTCAAGAGATTTGCCAGCTTTAGCCTTCCAGATTACAGCTATATATAGCTAGATTACAGGTATATGCCATCACACCTACTTCTCCTCTCTTTTCTTATAACTCTGAGTGAAACATGTAAACTATTAGAAACATACTTTTTATTATTAATCAAAAAAGGGAAATAGCTCCCAAGAGGGGATTAAATAGGGAAGGACAACACGTAGGAATTGAGGAGATGTTAAAACAAAATTTATCAACAAAATGTGTTTTAAAATTTACCTGTCAGTGTTGTTAGAGGTTCCTTGACAATAGAGTGATGAGATGGGAGACAGCCCCTTGACAAAACAATATCATCAAGTGCAATATGTCCCCTGTGACCTTTCCCAACTCGACCTTCAAAGGTGACTTGGAAATCCTCATCATTGTGCAGAATTAATTCTTTCCTCTTCCAGTAATTGCCTTGTTCTCCAGTAAGACAGAATAAGATCTTTGTCTTATTTGTGATTGATATCTGAGAAACGGTTAGTGCTCCAATGCCCTTTCCATACATGTGATAGTGGAAAATTATCTGAAAGAAAAAAATTGGCATTTAATGTGGTTGTATTCATTTTCTTCATCTTCAATGATTTCATACCATACATATGCCCTTTTATTTATAATGCCTGGAAGCTCACTGAGATATTTAACCACTCTTGCCCTTTTCAAATTCAGTTGCAAACATGATAACCCACAGAACAGCTAGGATTGCTCCAAACCCAACAGTTGCAATAAAAAGAAATTATTGAATGGAACCACAAAAATTCCAGTTCACCTGGTAGCACCTACCAGAAGGTGTACCTCCCTGACATAGTCTCTGAAAAACCAGGTCATCTCTATCCCCTGATGAGAACAAGATTTATTTCTACATATCACCTTGATTGAACTCATCTGATCACATAACTACAATCTCTCAAAGACAACAGGTTGAAAGAGATAATCTAGTCTGAGCTGTTCATTTTACAGATGATGTAACTGAGGCCAAGTGAGGTAAAAATGACTTATCTAAGAGGACAGAGGTAGGAAGTGATAGAGCTAAAATTTAAACCCTTGTCCTCTGTTTCCAAATTGAAGACTCTTTTCACTGTTTCAACCAAGTTCTGATTACCATGTGTTTGATAAAATAAAAGTATATTAACAAATAAATGTAATTTCCACCTAGTTCTAATAGATTTACTATATGCTTCATGCACATTAGGGGAGCTAGGTGGAACAGTAGATGGAGTGCCAGGCCTGGAGCCAGTAAGACCTGAGCTCAAATCTGACCTCAAACACTTACTACCTGTGTGACCCTGGGCAAGTCACTTAACCCCGTTTTCCTTAGTTTCTTCATCTGCAAAGCGAACTGGAGAAGGAAATGGCAAATCACTCCAGTATCTTTGCCAAGACAACTCCAAATGGATTTATTTTAAGTCAGACATAACTTAAATGACTGAACAACAATATGAATATTAGACGGTGTCCAAAAAATAAATTTGACCTGCCTTAGAATTGATCATCTACCTTGAAGGTAGTGGGGCAAAGAACCAACCATTTCAGTAGCATCAGAATGAAATGGGGAAAATTGGCCTGGCTATAATTTCTAATCAATCCTGTATTAAATCGACTGTAGAGCATAATCATGGTGAGAATTTGTAATGGATTTGTCTTTGGCAACCTTAAATGGCACAATGTGAAAAAAAATTTCTGATTTTGGCAGTCAACTTAAAATTAGGCATATGATTGGTGTGTCATTATTCACTTTCCCATTCTCTTGTACCATTTCATCACACCTACATGCAAAAATAATGAAATAGTTTCCATAGACAATATCTCACATTTCCTTTTCTGGATAATGGGAACATTCCTGCTGAGGGTCATGTAAGCTAATCACCAAGACAACATGAGCACATAAAAATATGCTTCAAATTTTACTCCTTCTAAGGAGCTGTTCTTTCTCAGTAGAAATTTCAAGGTGACTCAGTTTCAACTCTGCAAAAGTGCTGCTTTAGGGTGTTTCACAAGGTCAAACATAAAGGTGTTTTTCTTTAGAATTGGCAGGTAACTCTGGTTACCTGATAAACATATTTTATACATGAAAGAGCCAATCATTACCAGCATTGACCTTTCACTTACTCCTCTGTATTCAATACATATCATAAATATTCATACAATGAGCTATTCATCATTAATTTTTCTACATTTCTTCCAGGCATGCTTTACTATTCTCAAACAGATGCTTATAACAGTGGGAATTATGGTTCTGGGGAAAAGAAAGAAAAGAGGGAGAAGTCCTACTTGGTTTGCAAAAAGGTCCTTTAAAAATCATGGAATTATTGAACTAAAAAAAATTTAAACAAATCTTTAAGAAAAGTAGCATTTAAATTGCTACCAAATTAGAATTGTGTCTCTTTTGTTTCATGATTACTTATGTTAATGCCTCTTCTAATTAATTGCATTACTTCACCTGGTATTCATTGTACAACTATTTTTTTTAATTCTTTAGTGATTTTATTAAAGGAAAGGGAAATAAAAAGAGTAACATTTATTTAAAATTTGAAATTCTTATAGAATTTATATATATTATAATATTATAGGAAGGGAGGGAGAGAGGAAAGAAGAGGAGAAAGAGAGAGAGAGAGAAGATGAAATATGCCTCCAACATATTAAGGAAATAGAATAATAAAATAATCATTTACATTCTTATTCCCATGTCAATAAGCCCATGAGCTAGGTATTATCATCTTACTTTTATAATGAGGAAACTCAGTATCAGAGAGGTTAAGTGACTTCCTCAGAGCACACAGCAAGTAAATGTCAGTCAAGATTTGACTCTAAACTTCTCCTGTCTGCAAGTATGCTACTCTTTGCAATATTCCCAGCAGATTTCTAGATCAAATAGGATTTAAATGACAAAATAAATTAAATGAAATATTAGACAGCAGGGATGGAAGATTCTTTGCTCTTGAAGTAAGTATGATGAGACTAATTTCCTCTACAAAGCAGATCAAACAAAAGAAGCCTTTGGAAACTCTACTTTAAAAGAATGTATCCCTGTACTCATATGTTAACAATGATTAAACCAACATTACTCTTCTACTTCCAGCTGTGTGACTTTTGTAACGATATTAGTATCTTAAATCTATATTGCTCAGAAGGCTGAAACTTATTAATTTGTTGTTTAAATTAGTCTAAAGTACATCTACCTAATTCACAGAAGCTGCTCAACATATCTTCGTTAACGGGAGAAAACCGCTTCTATGGTAGCCAAAAAGTCTAGCTATCATTAAGCCTCAAAATGACTGGATAAAATTGAATTACTTTTTCTTTAATTCTAGCAATCTGTGAATCTCATTTCATTATGAAAATCCTCAACCTACCACTGACTATCTTCCTCAAACTGGTTCTTCCATAATTTCATACTAATTCCCTTCATGCTTCCCTTTCCAGTCTAATTGGCTTTTTAGTTATTCTCTTTTCGTGAGTTTGCCTCTTATACTTCTGTACTTTGGTACATTCCCCAATGTGAGGAATGTACTCCCTTCTCAATTTTACCTTGTAGAAACTCTAATTTCCTTCAAAGTACAACTCACTTGCCACTTCTCTCTATTCTTCAGTTTTTAGTCTTCCTTCTGTCTTAAAATTATTTAATTTAGTATCTCTACATTGAAGTCTTTAGGTCCATGTCCTATTGCTTTAATAGAATGTAAACTCATTGAAGGCAGGGATTGTCATTTTTGTCTTTGTATCCTATAGCCTGTCACTGTGCTTGATGCATATTAGGTGTTTAATGTTTGTTGAGTGGATTTGAATTCCTAAATGCTATCTTTCTTAACTCCAAATTCACAAGTCAGCACCAGAAGATCATATACATGTGTGCACATGTATGTATGTATGTATGTATGTATACACGTACATTCTTGGTTTTCTAGCATTTCAGAAAATACCCCTCTACTCTACCAAACTAAATTTCAATGAGTATACTTGAACAAACAGTAAGTATTGGCAATAGCTCTAAATTTACAGTCTTAATAGAGTTGTCTGGAGCAATAAGAGATAAAGTGATTTGCTCTGGATTATACAGACAACATACGTCAGAGGTAGGCCATGAAATCAGCTCTTCTTGATTCTAAAGTCAGTCCTCTATTTACCAGACAACATTCTGTGGTCCTTGATCTGTCTTAGCAAAAAAAATAAATAAATAAATTTTCCACACTTACTTCTTCCACAATGCAAGAGTTATATACAAAGTTTGATTGTTTTCTGCCTTTACGATCAGGTTAAAAAAAGTAATAAATCATATTCAGGATGTGTATTGCACACATATATACATATGTACATATACATATGTATCTGTATTGTGTATATACACATATGTGAATGATGGATATGTAGATGATTTAGATAATCATAGAAGATCAATATAGATAAAGAGATAGAGGTAGATATGATATAGATGACATAAATATAAATAGACATAACAGAGGGAGAGGGAAAGGGAGGTAGGGAGAGAGAGAGAGAGAGTGTGTAAGAGAGAGAAAGTTCTGAAACCATTATCCCAGACTTAACTACACTATAGCAGAACATGTTTCCAGAACAAGGCTACTATATCTTCCCCTAGGATTTTAGGGGAAACCCTGGAATTTTTTTTCCTTTTTTTGATTGAATTGTTTTCAATTATCGAGTATTTATTTTCTATCTCTCTGACCACCCTCCTCTACTGAAAAAAAAAAGAAAGAAAAAACAAATATTCATAGTAAACCAAAGCAAATTCCTGTATTTACATTCATTTGGCATTTTCAGTCTATCATCTCTCTGTCAAGATATGTTGTAAACATTCTATAAGTTCATAATCTAATGGTGGAGACAACATAAAAGTAATTACATAAAGACATACACACACACACATATATATACATATACATACATATATGCACATATATATGTATACATATAAAGAGGTATATGTATAAATAAATAGGATAAACTGAGAATAATCAACAGAAGAAAAACACAAATAAATATGTCATAAATTTTGAGAATGATGATTTTTTATTAGTCATTTTTATGAGTCATTGATTTAACAGTTCTTTGTTGTATTTCCATATGGAAAAACAAGGTGTTCAGACACTAAAGCCTTATTTTTATCATCAGTACCATGACAGTTTGAAAATCTAAGTCAAAAAGTTTGGTATTATTATGGTGATCATCACTATTTTTATTTCAGAATTAGGCTGTTAATCTTTCTGTAGTCTGTTCTATCAAAAATGGGTCTAATCATTGTCAAATGACTGGGAAATTCTGGAGCTCTCTGTGGTGGGTGGATGGAATGAGTCTGGGATCATGAACAGCTTTACCAAAATGAATCATTCAAAACATTTAAAGCTGGAAAAGAGAATTTTTGTTTGACATATCCCTTTTTGGTTCCCTTGAGTCAAGTACAGATTAATATAGTGAAATCTCAACCAGGATTCAGTCAGAATCTTCAATTAGCCATAAATTCTTCCCTTTCTGAATTTCACGTTTAGAAAAAAATAGCAAATGGTAAAGTAAACATTGTAAGTGCTTAGTAAATGTGTTGATTTCAGGCATTTGTTCAAACTATGTACATACAAAGCTTTTGGTGCTTTTTATTTGGAACCAATTCAGATTGAATTCAGATTCAGACACCTACAACTACTCATACAAAACTCTACAGTAAAAACTGTGATTCAAAATGATGACCAGGAAGTATAATCCTTAGCCAGAAAGTAGCTCCCTTCCATCAATAAAAATTTTAAGGGACAAAAATTAAAAAAAAAATCATGTTCAGTATACAAGATTTGCTAAAGAAGAAAAAAATGAACTGACACATTTTTAGAAAGAGTTTTAGCAATGCCTATCTAAACTTCTCAGCCTAACTTTTAAGAGCCTTCCTAACCTGGACTCACACTCCCTATGCAACCTTATTCTCTATCCTACTTTACCTCAATGTGAAATCTATTCCAACAAGGCTAGTGTCCTCACTTGCTTGACAAATATTTCATGTTTATTCTTACCTCTATTCCTTTATTTATGCTGTTCCCCAATCTCCAGAAACAATTTCCTTCCTAACTATAACTAGTTAAATCCTCTCCATCCTTTATGGTCCAAGTCAAAACTTTCAATTATCTCTAAGGCTCCTTCTAACTCTAAATGAAACAACAGATCCCATTTCCCCCATAAAGTCATTCCCAACTAGCCCAGCCCTACTCTGACCTCATTACTGTTTTTACCAGTTAATCAAGTACTACTTTCTGATGTCATTTATTTTTTGCAAATGTCTACAATTTGTCTAGTAAGGGGATTTTATTTAGTTTGTGCCTCCCACACATCTTCTAACTTTAGGATGGATTCCTCTATTATGTGCCCTTTTTCCCTGCACCCCCACCTTCATCCTACTCAATAATGTTCCAAGGTGAATACAATCCAGCCTTTCTTTTTTGGGGAATATTTCATTCAATTTACTGAATTTAACTATATTGGTCAATGAGGTTCCACTAAGTTTTTTTTTTCTTTTCTATACCTTGCAGTTTTTGCTCCTTCTGCTTATCATTGGGCTAGAAATGTGGGCTTCTCTCATTGGCTGCTGAGGAAAAAAACTCTTTATAAAGATGTAATGACCAGTTGGGTCTTGAAAGGTGTGATCTGCAACTGGCTCGGTGCCTGTAGTTGGGGTGATGCCAGCTTTTAGATTCCAGTCCAAGTCATCATTTTGATTCTGCTCCCAAAAACAAAGATCAAATTCGAAATCACAGCGCCCAATGGATGTACCTAAAAAAATTCCATGTAAAGGTAGGAAAAAACAAGGAAAATAGATTGAATTAAGGTTAATAATCCAAAACAAAAAGGAACAATCTTTATAAGTTAGACAGAACCTAATATCTGAAGGTATTTTAAAACTATAACTTTCTAATAAATGGGAAACTGATTATAAAATAGAGATTTTGAAAAAAGAGTTGGACAAATTCCACGGTTTAATTCATTATTCTTACAAGTTGATATCAAAATATATTTTCAAGAGCATTAGCATACACTTACAAAATGTGTAGCTTTTATACTTGAAAATATTATGATTTAGTTACTTTATTTTGATACTCACAAATTTTAATACCTTGCTAACCAAGACATATACATGAAATCAGCTTGCAAGAAGAAATATAAACATTAAAACTAAATTAGGAGAAAGGTTAAATATAATAATATATTATATATAATTACAACAGCTCTATCTCTGCCCATTCAAAAAGGTTACTGACACCAAAAAACACATGAAAAAAGGGTAAAGGAAAAGAAAAAAAAATGATAACAAGGAAAAGACACTGACACTGTTACCCTTTTCTAAACAAGTTTCACTAATATAAATCAATTGCCACAACAAGGGAGTAAATAAATCTAGAAGCCGTTTTAGTCTCTAAGCCTAACGAAGAGATATATTAGTCAATGGCAACAATGGTTTGGAATACAGGAAGAGAGACATATATGCTCATACCATTTGAATGGGCTGGGACTGTTTCTCTTTTCTATGTGCATCAGTATGTAGCAGACTGGTTGGCTGAACAAAAGTTTTTTTTTTAATTCATTTAAAAATCTTACAGAGGATGTTTTATGGAAGCATAAAATGGAAACATTATATGGGTATTAGTATATCACTCCAGTTTTCTATCCATTAGCTTTCTCTCACAGTATGATTGGCCTATTCCCTTTGCTATCATAATTCCCCTAGATATCTTTTAGGTCACATCCTCCATGCACGTCATAAATGGTAATTTGTGGCTACTTACAGCTGCCATACAGCTCTCCATTGACCTTTGGGTCACTCTAAATTTTGGTTCTTTGGAGACTGTGAAGTTCTGAGATTCATAACTATACTAGAGGAATACTGCTGTGAAAAACTAGGCTATTGCTTCAAAGTGAAGCTTTGTGCTTTAAAAAGAAGTGTATAACTTCCCAAAATCAATCTAGCCCACTTATTTTTATTCTTTTAAATTATGGGTCCAGTTCATTTACCATGTGCAGTGTCTGTATTATATATAAGTGCTGATAGACAACTGCTATGAACTATCCATCCAACTGTAGCAAAATATCAACAGCTGGCCTTTTTCATTCTTTTGTTTTTTTTTTTTCATGTGAATTGTTAGTTCACATTTTTTAATGTTTGCAGACCTCAGTTAGGAGCATCTATCTAGATGCTGGTGCATTTAGATCTAGAACCTGATGCAAATAGGACAATGTAATAAGCCTAATATAAATGTCATCTGAAGACCTCATCATCTGTAAGGAATTCCTATTCCTCTTCCTCTTAGACTCAGAGATAGACATCTTCCCTAAAGTGGTGAACACCATTGGTAAAGAAATATTTCCCTATTTTAAGCATATTACATGTGTGTGTATTTTGCTTATATATAGTATGCATGTATAATTGTATGTATGTGTGTATGTGTGTATATATCATCAGTGAATTATATGACTATAAATATATGGTCTGGTTAAAATGTCATTTGTGAAAGTCTACCTTTCATATTTTCATTACAGGTGTCTTCAAGACATGTATAGATTCAACTTTCTTAAAAGTATGTCACATTGAAGAGGGAGACTATGGGGGAAGGTAGAGGTCATTTTTCAAATCACAGATACCCTACATAATCTCAAAAATAGAAACAAATTTATCAAAAAAAATAATTAAAAAAAATTTAAAAGCAAAAATTCTCAAAAGGAAAATAACTTTATACAAAAAGAGAAAGAAAAAAAATAAGTTAGGAAAAATAATTCCCCTACATCATAAATGAATGTCTGGTTGGGGAGAGGGGATAAAGAATGAATGAAAAAGTTGAAAAAAAAAGCTCTAGAAATGGCAACGAATCTGTCATGAGATTAATCATGTTAAAAAGACCACAAGGCTCACCCTTAGCATATTGAGTGGGGCCTTAATGGAGTATTGAGGGAACAGGAATAAGAGTAGAACAGGCTAATAAGGTATGAATAACATATGAGTTACATTAAGGGAGTATCCACACAAATAACCTCATAGATCTACAAATACTTTATCCAACTTCTCTACCTCTATTTACTTCCTTATGGCATTCCTTTTTCCTACAATGACCTCCCAAACAGGCATAACTATCAAAACTCTGTTTATCTTTCTTTATTATTAATTTATTTTGATCTATCAACAATCACTTCCATATGCTTTTGAGTTTAAAATTTTTTCTCCCCCTTCCTCCCCACTACCCTCCCCAAGACGGTGCACAATCTGATATAGTCTGCTCATCTTTTAAGGCCCAGTTCGTCATTCACTATAAAATTGTTTCTTATCTCCCCCCCAACTGTATAGCTGCTTTGTGTCTTAAACAGTAAAATATTATACATCTCTTCTTTGACATTTATCATATTTTCTGTCTTTTATTATGCTTATTTAGAATGTTATTATGTAATGGTATTATTTGCCTATTTTATCCCCTCTATGAAATGGAAAATTGCTTGAGGATGGGGAAAATAATGTTTAAATGAGTGCATCTCCATATGTAACTATCACAGTTCATTGTCCATGAGGGATGATTATTAATCATTTGTTAAATGATTGAATAAATTAATGTCCTTTTTATATTCTGAATTAGGTTCTTATAATCAGTTAATATACATGAAAACAAAGGGTGACATATTTGAGTACAACAAAAATAGGTAGTGAAAATGCTTTGTGGCACTATTCAAAATTCTTATTACTGCTTTGGTTATTAAAAAAATAAAAATAAGAGGTGTGCTATTTTTTCTACAAATCCAAAACAACTTCAAAAGACCATAAGCTGTAGCACATGAATCATTATGCATAGACATTCTTCTCACATATACTGTGAGTAATTACTCAGATATTTCCCAAAGTAATGTTATTTTGCTGAATATAAGAAGTCATGGAATTTTAAAATGTATAACATCCCTTTATTGATTACTGTCAGAAGAACTCACTGTCAGAATCCACTTTTCAGGAGCAGACCCCAATGTGTTGTCTCAGCATCTAAACTACTTTCTAGAGCATCATTTACATGGTTAGAGAAATGCATCTTGGGAAATTGCCATAGCAATTCTCAATTGAAGAACCTAAGGGATAACTTCCTACTCCAATTAGAAGTGAGAATCATAATATTACAAAATTTGCCTAGCTTGAAAATGTTCTAACTTTGTTATAGAAACAGTCTTACCATCATGGCAAAAAAGACAATGTTGTGCTATGCTGGAATATAAAAACTCCAAAAATAATCATTGCTTCCTTTGCTTAAAAAAATGAAAGAAATAAAAGTTTTTAAATAAAAACATCATTTAAGTATTTTTCTTGGAAATATAAGGCTATAGCATCAATCACAGACGACTAATCACATCTCCCAACAAGGAATTTGCTGTGACAGTGCAAAGCAGGGATAAGACAATTAGATAGCATTTAAAGACATTGAGACTTGAAAGTTAAGAAATCTTTTAAAAGGAATGCTATGAAAAGAGCATTTTTAATTTTATATTTATTTTAACCTTGACTTCTAATATTTTATTAATAGAAAAAAAGTCTTTCATTCCTAATTTCTGTCATCAAATCATTAGGCCAGCTAGTTCCCTTATAAATGTCAATTCATTTTCTAAATTTATATTTCAAACTTTAATTTGTTTTCCCCTCTCTAATAGGGTGCAGTGGCCATAGATTTCTTTATATGCCTGTATCAAAGACTAGATTTTTTTCTTTATGGAAGAGCTTGGAAATGGATCGAAGATAAATCTAATTGAAATAAAGAGCGATTCATATTGTTGTTCTAAATGCACAACAAAATCTTCAAATTCTATGATTCCCCGAATAGTCTTCAGCATGCAGTAAGATAAATGTAAATTGAATCTATGATACTATTTTTCCCTTCCACATAAAATATGTAACAACCAATGAGTTCCTTTCCCAGCAGTCAACCAAAATCCAATATTACCATGCTGTAGCTGACTCTCTTCTTAAAAAGTAAAAATACTTTGAGGACTACTGTACAAAATAATCTTCTGATTAGACTTGAGTGTTTGGGTAACTCTATGGCTTTGCTCTCCAAGTAGAATGTCGTACAGGGAAAATATAGCCAAACATCTTTTTCCAAGGAGAAAATGGCATTAGGATATCTCCCTCCTCTCTAGAAGGTTCAACCTGTGAACTTTCAAACTCTTGAAACTGTGCTGAGGAAGAATGCTTCTGCAGAAAATCCCAAAGTGACTCATCTGGTAGAATCTCTTGAGTAAGCACTAATCAGGAATTCGTCTTCTCTAGCCAGAAAGCTAGATTCTGGGAGTATATTGCCCTCTCTATCAATTAGTCAAACAATCAATCTACTCAAAAGGCTGGAATTTGGAAATGTTGCCAATGAACTACCTTCTTAGGATACATGCAAGTATCTAACACTGCTATGTGTTAGATCTAACACTTGCCACATGTCAAGGTCCAAGTAAGTCTTATAGCACAAGGAAAGGTGACTTGTCTGAGCAGACTTCCTACCCTGTAAGTCTCAGTTAATCAATTATTTTGATCTACCAGTATCCTATGAGCACCATTCTTATGAGCACTCCAATGTTTCAGTCACCTCTCAGATGACTGTTAAAGGTCCATGGTTGGAATCCCATTGAATTGATTAGGGAACAGACCAAATGACTCATGGGCATGAGTGAGAAACTTTCTTACATTTGTCATATCATTCTATTTATTTTAGGATTAAAGACTGAATTGCTTCAATGTAATCTTTTCATACAGAGAAAGTGATCCT